ATGATTAGATGATTTTACATAATACAGCTTTCTGAAAGCAAGAGATATTATCTATAAACTTTATTTATCTATATAAAAGATACAACCAGCTTTGATAATCTAAAACCTATCAACGGCTATACATATAATAGCTTTAAAGAAGCTTGCTTTTATCTTGGTTTTTTTAGAATGATACTGAATAGAATATCTGTTTGCTTAAAGCAAGTGCTATACAGACAAGACACCAACTTCAACAGTTTTTTGCAACCATACTTCTATTTTGAAATCGTTAAAACCTGAATTGTTATAGAATAATCATAAAGTAGTATTGTATGAAGATATTTTATATCAAGCTCATACAATTACAAGATCTTGATGATGCAAGTAATATTTCTGCTGTAATTGAATATGAAGCTCTTATTCAATTAGAAAATAGACTTTTACTAAGTAGAAAATCTTTAAAAGATTTTTTTGATATATCAATTTCTCCTATTATTTCAAATATCAGTAATAATGAAAAAGCATTAAATCACTTGATACGTAAAAAGAAATTCTATAATATAACAGACTTACAAGCTGAATTATAATGCAATATACTTTTGTTAAATGATGATTAATATACAGTATTTAATACTGTTACAAGAGCAATTAATAATAAAGAAAGAGAATATTTTTTGTAGATAGACCAGATGGTACAAGAAAAACTTTTTTATATAACACTTTACTAGCAAGTATTAGATTATATTGCCATATTGCTTTGGCAGTAGTCTCTTCAGAAATCATAACACTTTTAATAAAAGGTAGACGTATAGCTCATAGTCATTTCAAAATTCTATTTAAATCTGATGAATCTTCTATATATAATATTTCACAAAATAGCAAAGAAACTCATTAATTAGTATTGCAAAACTTATCATCTGGGATGAGACCCTGATGATTAATAAGTTTGTATTTGAAGCCCTTGATCATACATTTCATGATATTATACAAGTAGATGATCTATTTAGGGGAAAAGTCATTGTTCTTGGTAGTGATTTTTGTCAAATACTACTTGTTGTATCCTGTAGTTCCTGCACAGATATCATTTCAGCTAGCTTATTCTGTTTTTCATTCTGGCATCATATAAATATCATGAAATTAACAATTAACATGAGACTCCAGCAAACTAATAATATTAATGAGAGTCAAAGACAAAAAAAATTTGCTGAGTTTCTTTTACAAATAGAAGATAAAATGTACCTAATCATTGCAGACACAGAAAATAGAATAATACTCCTTTCTAATATAGTTGTAGCTGGTAGAATATTATTAGATTTTATTAATTATATTTATCTGAATTTCATAAAAACTCTAATAATATTAATTACTTAACTGAAAGAGCTATACTAACTCCAAAAAACAACGATGTTGATATAATCTCTGATCTAATGATAGATCAGTTTCCTGGTCCAGTTTTTATATATCCTAGCGCAGACTCCATAGATTCAGCAGATGATAGAAATATAAACTACTCTCATCTATATTCACCAGAATTTTTAAGATCTTTAAAAATCTCTGACCTTCTTCCTAGTCAATTAAAATTAAAAGTTAGTATACTTATAATGCTTCTACGTAACTTAAATCTAGCAGAAAGACTTTGCAATAAAATCTGCTTAATTTGTTAAACTCTTTATAGCAAAGTAATTGTTGCTAAAATTATCACAGAATTCCATATTGGCAGTTGTATATTTATACCTGAAATTTTATTATTATCTTCTGATATCGAATTATCTTTTATTTTAACAAGATGCTAATTTTTGATATGTCTTGCTTTTTTTATGACCATTAACAAAGCACAAGGTCAAATATTGAATCAGGTTGATATTTATCTACCAAAACTAGTTTTTTCACATAATCAATTATATGTCACTTTATTGAAAGTTACTTCCTACCATGCTGTTAAAATTCTCATATTTAATAATTCAAATATAATTTTAAATTATTGTTATACAGATAATATTGTATATTGTGAAGTCTTTTCGTATATAATGTAATACCTAAATAATTTTTCTGCAATATTTCTCTATTTTGTAACCATATTGACCAAAAGGCAAAATAAAATATTATATATAGTATTTAATATTCAATAAAAAATTAACAAAACAATAGATATTCTTCTTACTAATTTACTTTATCCTAAATAAACTTAAACCCTTTTCTCTTGACTTGATATAACAAATGAATTCAATGCTTCTTAAATATAAAATTACATCAAAATATTATAAACTGAACTAACTTTTACCTAATTAATTAATTATCCTTTATTGATTACCTGTATAGTCAGACCTCTCTATAGTCACCTTCTCTATAGTCATATTTGCTTATAATCATATAAAATTTTAAAACTAACTTATATAGTACTTATAAAATTTAACTTCTATATAAACACAAACTCTCTATAAACATCAAATTCTTAAAACCAAGGGTGTAATTATAAAGAGGTTTGACTATACCTATATTTTTATAATGAAAATTTTTCTATACTATGTAGTGATGTATACAGGATATTTTAGAATATAGTGTTTAGATATTTTGGAATATTTTGACAAAAAATAAAGCTAATTTATTCAAAATTTTATTATAATAATCTGTTTTAATCTTCTAAGTAAAGTTGTAGAGCATTAGACAAAATATATAATCATACTGTATATTTTTTATAAAAATATTTTAAATAGTTAAAGCTAAAATTAATATTTTAGATCTTAGACATTTTCAAAAAAGTGGCAAGATAGTCAAAATATATATCACTACACTATATATTTTGGTTTTTTCTGATGCTTTCAGCTAATAAACTATGTATACAATTTAAGAGTAGAGTATATATAGATCATTTTTCATATAATCTACATGGTATATTAGATTTTTATATAGTAAATAAAAAATATCTCTAATTAAACTTTTTAATATCTTAACTAATTTGTATAAAATTTATATAATATGTAATTTAAACTGTCTATTTATGATATTAAAGTTGTGCAATATATATTACTTTAAAAAAACTAACTTCAAATATAATAAAATTTTCTAAGGTCGTTATATGTTTTTTCTAGATAGTACAAAAAAATTGCTAATTCTGATTGGTCAAATTATATGTTGTTTATATGTAAATTATATGATATCATATAAAATTTATTACACAAAGTTGATCTACAATCTATTTTATATGAAATTAAAAATTTGTACACCCTACCTTAAGCTATCTATTTTAGAAGCCTAATCTAATTCATCATATTGTATCTCTAACAATTACGCAATCTTCTACTTCTCTTACAACCCAATTAATAAATATATACTATAAAATTGCTAATCTAACCTTAAATAGTTATACTGTCTATTGCGTAGCTTAATTCTGTGCTTTTCTCTATATCACAAATATATTTATTAGCAAGATAAAGTTGAATAGTAATACTTAATATAAAGATATTTGCTTAACTACAGTATATCGATTTGATTTGAACGAAAGTAAAGAAAAATTTTTTTTCTTACTTATATACCTCACATTTAACTTATTATATAATCGATCACTTATATACTTTAATATAATATAAATAAGAATTATATTCTCTGATTAACCTGAACTGATTAATGCTCGTGATTGAACTATATGCTCATGAGTTCTTCTTGCAACTATTCTAAGATCTGAGAAATTTACAGATAGTACATTAGGACTAGGGTGTTAAGGATTATATAATGCGAAATTATATGCATAGTTGACTATATTTTTATATCGAATATGCTTTGTATAATTAAGAAAAAAAAGATATAATACACATGAGTAGTATATAATTAGTGAATGTAGTGCTTGGCAGATAAGTATTTCAAAACTTCCAGTGCAGAAAGTTCAAAATATTCTAAAGTTTTCACATAATTGACAAAATTTTAAATAAGAAATCACATTTATCGTATAATTTAACCTTAATTGCACACATAATTTTATCTATCACATTGCATAATTTTGGACACCCTAATTGGGACAGTAAAATCACATGATATTATATTAAATCCTCTATCTAACTGCTAACTAACCAATCATACTTTAAGAATATAATTTTGTACTATCCTTATACACTGTCCTGCTCAAAAGCAAATCTTACATTTTTGATACTTTTGTATTTACTTTTTTGATACCTAAATATACCCTAAAAACTAACTAATAAAACTGTATATTTTTATAATAAAACTTCAATAAAAAGTATAAAAATTTTAGGGTATGTTTAGGTATATTAATAAAGTAAATGCAGAAGTATTAAAAATATAAGTTTTGTCACCTAGGATTACAACCAAAATTCAACTTTCATATAATCCAACTCTAATCAAATCTCAAGATCAGATATAATATAGTATAAATATAAAAAACTACCTTTGCAATTTTATAATTAAAACCCTTAATAATTAGCTATAATATGAATACTAACTATAAACAAGTTTAAATTTTTTTGGCTATCATATAATAGCCAGATTTTGGTAATAATATTGGAAAAAATCACAAAAACTAATATATACTATATATTCTTTATGTAATAATATATGTTACAGATTATTATAAAATTTTTTTTTTTTTGCTTCACTTAGGCAGATCATGCCAGTATTCTTTATTCAATAAAGCTCAAATCTATGTAGAAAGACCATAATATTGAAACCACGAATCTGACATCCTGTAGTTACCTCGCATAATCTAACTGATTATCTACATGTACCTACAGGTGACCACAGCGCACCTTTAGGTATAATCAATTAAGATAATACCCTCTAGGGGCTTGTCTGACTACCGCTCTACAATAGGATATTGCTAATCTGATGATATCTTCTCATAGAGAAGTAAAAGAAAAAGAAAAAATTTTTAAGGAAACAAAACACAGAGGTATAAGAGAGTATATAAAAAAAACAAATAAAAGAAAAGAAAGGGTAATAAGATATAAACAAAAAAAAAAACTAAACTAAATATGAGATTTTTTACCCATACTGGACGATCACAATTACAGTCTGGGAATATACCAAATTTGGTCATCGATGATCTTACCTTATTTGGTAAATGATCATCAGTCGGATGAT